TATTTATACAAATTAAAATAATATAAATATTACAAATATCTAAATTTACATTAAACTCACCACATTCCCAACCATATGGCTTCAAGTCTTACCTATAAATATTAATGAAATCCTATCCTAATCTCTAATTTCATCATGACTTATGATTTAATACTATTATTATTATTATATCTATTATTATTATTATAACTATTATTATTATTATTAATAAACTATTATAATTAATAGTATTATATTATTATTATTATTAATAACTATTATAATTATTATTATTATTACATAAGAATACATTATATCATCATAATACTTTATAACATAAATATAATACTTTAATTAACTAATATTGCTTAATTAAACATAATCAACAAATAAAATTAATAATAATAATACATGCACAATTAAATGAATAAATTTATTATTTTAACATATACAATTAATTTACATGCACCATTAAATGAACTTAATATAACAATGTAGCATGCACAATAATAGGTAAAGAAATCCACACATAAATGAATTTAAATAAACTAAACTCTTTAATAAAATACGGGGTATTACAAAATACCTCCAGGATAGTTTAAGTTACAATACTTACACATGAAACGACCTTGTAATCGTTCAACGTGATCCCAAAATGCATCCCTCTTTTTTCTCATCTTTCCTTAATAGCCTATATATTTATAATAAATTCATAAGTATATAATGTAATACTCTACTAAAACATCTAGAGAGTGCGGTGATCTACAAATTTCTAAAATAATAACAATAAAGAAACAAACAAAATTTAAAACATCCACAACAAAACAAAAAATCTATAAATATCTACAAATATCAATAAAAACTTATAATTCTTCAAGATTATAGTATTCCACAAGTGTGTGTGTGTGTATATATATATATATATATATATATATATATCTTTCATTACTTTGATTAAAGATCATACAATGGAGTGACAACAATAAGAGATTAAAAAAGAAGAAGAAAGAAAGTGATACCTTGAATGCAGAACAACTGAGTGAGAGAATGGTCACAACCTTCCTCAAGATTGCACAACAAATAACATTATTTTAATAGCGCGAAAAATAATGGTTATACCAAGCAAAGAGGGTAAAAAAGACGGTAATTTGTGTTTCAGAAAAATAGGCTATTAGAAGTTTGTGAACGAAAAGAAAATAAAATAATTAGGTTACGAATTATACGGAGCGACCAAAACAAATAAACAAATAAACGCGTTAGATACGAGGTGATGGAAAAAAACGCGTATTTTATTGTATCTTTCAACTTTAATCGGCAAATGAAAGTATTTTTTCAAAATTCGTACGCACGCGTTTAATTCGCATATCATGCACGAATTAACTAACTAGGACTGTAATACAGTGTTCACATATTACACTGGATTGTAACATGCTTAGCAATTTTGTGTTATCCGTCACGGTGTTTTCCGCAATCACGGTATAACGAATTCGGACAATATCGATATAAATGAGTTGAATCGGCCAATTTATGAAAATGTGTAATAATATTCAACTCTTAAAAAAGGATTACGAATCAATACATCGCGTATCAACTAATATAAATTTGAACTAAATACTTCGTAGTTTTAAGAAAAATGATTTTTAGGTCAATTATTTAAATACGTTTGAGAGTATCCAATTGACTATTTGAATTTAGAATCGGACAAAATTTAGTTCAAACTTTTTACAAATCATTTCACAATTCCAAATTCAAAGTATTGATTCGATACTCTCAAACATAGCAAAAATAATTTATTTGATCGATAAGTTTTTATTGGTCATGTATGCAAAATATAAGAAATTAGAACTCTCACTTTTGAGTTTTGACCAATAAAAAATAATAGGTCAAATAATTCACTTTTACACTTTGATTCAAATCTCACAACTCTCATTACAATAAGTTTGCGAGTTGCCTCAATAGCCTAGTGGATTAGTGTAATTAGTAGGCGCTTGCCGATTTAACAAAATTCTCAAATTATTAGGTAGTGTTACATACTCATCTATTTATATCCAATCACTTTTTTATTTGGATCTGATGTGGAACAAATTATCCTTATAATAATTAGTGTCTCCCGATGGACCGTAAAGTGCTGGACTTCAACTACTAATCATCTAACACTTTTTGTCTTGCTCAAAGAGATATATATATATATCTATAATAAGTTTTTTAAAAAAAGAATAAAGATTAAACACTTATTACTATAACTTAATAACAAAACTTTTGTGCATGTAGTGACGGCTAGAAAGTCCAGTACGATCAATTATCCAAAAGTTGTTAAACAAGCATGAGAGTAATAGAAAATTGGATGTTTATTTATAGGTGAGGATGGTGGTTGTTATAAAATCAACAATTAATTAAGAGTTCAGTAGACCAGTTCTAATTTCTAAAATCCTTGGTGACTTGCAATTTTATGTTGCAGTTACTTGTATTATTATTCTTTTTAAATATTTGTAGTAAAATTTCAAAGTTTGTGTAATGGCAATGCTTTCACATTAGCCCGTTTGGGATTGCTATTAAAATTATGAAAGCGCTTATGAAAGCGCTTTTAACAATAGAACTGTTATAAAATTGTTGTTAGTAAAAAATATGTTATGTGTTTTGATAATGTATTTTATAAAACATTTTTTATACTTAAAGCAAGTTTAAATTTGTTTGGTAACAATATTATTTAAAACACTTTTATTATTAATTTACTATATTAGACATACACCAATAACAATGTTATATGGTATTAATGTGAGTGATTCATTTACATGGCATGATTGCTGGTTAACATTATATGATTACGGGTTATAAAATTAATTTAAATACACGTTATAACTGAAAATAATTTAAAATTTTCACTCTGCCCATGCTATAGTGTATGTGTGGCTTATTTGATACAATGTGAATAATGACAATGATGCAGATCAGTAAGGGATAAAATTGTATTTATAAAGAAAGGTGATGAATTATATTTTCAAAAAAAGTAGTTACCTAACTCTCTCTCGAACACAATTCTAAAAGCTATGAACGCACTTTTTTTAAGAAATCTCTACTACCTAAACGAACTTTTTTTAGTCACCAAACACTTCTAACTGCAGTTTTTAAAAATCAACGCACTTTTTAACTACAAAGAAGCAATTCCAAACAAGCACATATATATGTTGTGGGTGGAGGGATTGTCCCATCATCACCTATATATATATATATATATATATATATATATAATATGTCGTACACGTGCCCAAAAATCATAGTAAATACAAGTGATATATTCACTTCAAGATAAGGGTAGTGTTGGTGGGTTATAACCACATCGTGTGAGTATTATGTTAAATACGTTAACTCAAAACTCGATCGGTTTAATAATTGTGTTAGGACTTCTTAACATGAACATAACACGTATATTATTGCAATTTTCTGAGCGGTATAAGGATTTGAAAGAATGGACTAGAGAAATGCATGTTAAATGCACCTATATTGGTGTTCAATTATTAGATTTAGAATTTTTGAAAAATTGGTTACTAATTGGTATAAGATAAAAACCTTATGTCCTTCATGTCTAAAATCTTGGCTCAAATTGAAGTTACAACCATCTCATAAAGATCAAATGAAAAATAAAGGAAAAGTGCAAATAGCTAATTTTTTTTTCTTAACAGTTTTGGGAATGGAAACTGACCTTCCTTTTGGTTCTCCTCGAAAATGGCCTTCCTTTTTTTGAACCAAATTTGAAGGATCTTGAAAATAAAATTGGGTTACACATGTAATATGTTTAATTCTAATGGGTCATGTAATTATTTATTAATTTAAGTATAAAATAAATAAGTAAAATAAAAACAAAAAATGAGAATAATTTATATAATACAATTAGAAAAAATGCCAAAAACAATACTTATATTGAATATATTTTAAAATAATAAAAATGTTTATAGTAATTGGGTTGACTTGACACAATTAATTAAATGAGTGTAATCGGATTAAAGAGTTGAGTTTCAAAATACGAACACAACACGATTAATTAAATAAATTAAACAAGTTAACATGATTAATTAAATAAATTAAATAAGTTAAACGATTATAACATGACCACGATTAAAGTCAATTCAAACCCACTAATAACGTATTGTGTTTAAATCATGTTAAATTTTGCCATGCCTAGATATTAGATTAGGCCTATCAACGAATCGGATTCGGATTAAATTAATTAAATTCATATCCGATTTGTTAAGCAAACGGATTATCGGATTCAGATTAGTAACGGGTTCTTGGACCGAATGTCCTAATTCATATCCTATTTAACTTGAACTCGGATCGAATCGGATTCAGATTCAAATAAAAATCATATTTACTAACATGTATAATTATAAAGTTAGATGAAACGAAAAATTGTTAATATACAGAGTGTTACATAATATAACTATTCAACCAAATGAATATAATGATAAATAATTAATATATATAAATTTAGTAATAGTATATAACTAATATATATATAACATTGATATATAATATACTGTAATGTAATAGTATATATATATTTAATTGAATCAGATTATTATATATCCGGTTTGTTAAGGAAACGAATTATTGAATTCGAATTATTATTTAATTATCGAATTTTTTTTCAATCCATATTTAAATAATCAGATCGGATTCAGATTAGAATTTAATCCATTGACAGGTATAATTGAGATGATAAAGAATGTAGAAGCCTTTATTTTTAATATTGTTAGGTTAAGTTAGGTTAATTTTTGGAACCGGTAAATTTGATATTACCAAGTTTGTCTTATCATATTCCAATTTGTCTGAAGGTGGGCTACTGTTATTCCCGCTCCTTTCTACGTTGAGTTTTCAAATTAAACTCCGTTGTTTAAGCGCGAGTCGTCTTAACACCCCCCACGTCACCACCAACCACCACGTCACCCAAATTTGAAATTACTTTATTATCCTATTTCTTTAATTCTCCACCTCCATTTTTCGAATTTTAAAATAAAAAAAATTAACACTTCCATCGTTCTCACTACCTCACCTCTCTCCCTCCTCCCAACTCACCAGTTATTAGGGATCGTTCACTCTCTCTATCTCTCTCACGCACAAACACACACAGCGCAACTCTCATTGTCTTAAAGAAGAAGAAACGAAGACTCTCTCTCCATAAATATATATACACTTGTATATATATGTGTATGTGTGTGTGTATATATATATATATATATTTCTTCCTATGCGTTGAAGCTTCTCTTTTACTGAGGCCATTTGCTTAAAAGCGTGAAACCGAATTTGAAATCGGACAATGTTCTTCGCTTTAGTGAATCAGACCATGTGAGCTTCTGACATATTCTTTCTCTCCATCTTCTACTTCTTCTATTCTCTCTCTCTATATCTTTCTCTCTCTAGATTTCGGAATCGTTTGATCATCGATTCGTGAGTTGAATCGATCAATGGCGGCGTCTTCGTCACGGGGGCGAAGTAGTTCACCATTCCATTACCGGAAGCCTTCGAGTCCATACTCCTCCACGTCGTCGTCTTCGTCGTTCATGAACGGCGGCGGTGGCGGCAGTCGGCTAATGCCTCGCTCGTGTTCGTCTTCGGCGACGTCGTTTTACGGGTCCGGAAATGGGTTCAGCTCCAGATCCATGACGCCGAGTCGGAATCGGAGCGATTCCATGTATTCCAGAGGGTATGGAGCTCGTACGCCTGTCGCTTTCCCGTCGGCGGAGGAGCTGATTGGAGAGCCAGTTGATACTTCGAGATCGGGAGATAGCATTTCGGTGACCATTCGTTTTCGGCCTCTGAGGTAAATGTAGATCTGATTGAGTTGGTTTAGATCTATGGGCTTTTGATAGGAAGAGTTTGAAATTTTCTACTAGGGTTGTGTTTTGGGGCAATGCGGTTTGAAATTGGATTTTTTTGAATTTGTGGTGGCAGTGAAAGGGAATTTTCGAGAGGAGATGAGATCTCATGGTATGCCGATGGAGATAAGATTGTGCGGAATGAGTATAATCCTGCAACTGCTTATGCTTTTGGTATTATTCTTGGCATCTTAATCTATTATTTGATTGTGCTGCTAATTCTGATGATGCTCATTTGAACTTTGTAAAAATATGAAATTGGAATGACTAGAATTTTCAATATACGAATTAGCAATTAATTTCAGTTCATACTGTAGCCAAATTCTATATTGTTTTTACTATGACAGATAGAGTTTTTGGACCATCTACGGCTTCTCAGGAAGTATATGATGTAGCTGCTCGGCCAGTAGTCAAGGCGGCAATGGAAGGTGTAAATGGTACAGTAACTTATACTAATTTCCCAATAATATGTTTTTTTTTTTTTTTTTTTCCCATTCAATATGATATTGTTACAGAATAAACAATGTCAAATGTAGTTGAGCTTATGACTGATTATGTGCTGATTCATAGTTGAAAGCTATAATTAAATGAGCTTTTGGGTTGCTGTTAAGTTTCTTACTTGAAGCTGTTTTAGTTTAGTGCTTCAGTAAATTGTTAGAGCTAAAATTAGTTATGGAGCCAGTACAACAGTTCTTCTAAAACATGCCTGCTGACAATGCAGGAACTGTCTTTGCCTATGGTGTTACAAGTAGTGGGAAGACCCACACTATGCATGTAAGTCTTGTTCCTTGTGATGATATATGTCCCTTAATTACTTCAACCGAGATTAACTCTAAATGAATTAAATGGTCACGAATAAACTTTTAAACTCTAATTGAGCTTGAGCTTCATCTTTTGAAATAAAATGAACACATATTTATTAAAAAGAAAAAGAAAAAGAAAGAATGAATGAGATGAATGCCTATATAATTTATATCTTCTTGTTTTTTCCCCTAAATTATATCTTCTTGGTTTCATTGTTATCAATTGGATGAAATAATATTATGGGTGGACGGTATATAGTATAATGCAAGCAATATGCTAGACATTAATGGTCCTATTTCTTTGATAAAGAGGTGGAATGTAACAACATACCAATAGAAACTCGAAGAACTCTACGAAATGTAGGAATTGAATTACTAAAAAATTTATTAATAAAAGTTCTATAAAGGAAACGAGGCCTAATCAATGGAGGAAAGTAAGATCGTCCCAATACACAAAAGTAAAGGTGATATACAAAATAGTGGTAAACATTGAGGAATTTAATTAATGACTCATATAATGAAATTATGGAAAAGGATAGAACACAAATTAAAGAATAACACCACAATATCAAAAAATCAATTTGGATTCATGTCAGGGAAATGTACTGTGGAGGCCAGTTATTTACTTACGTAATTGATAGAAGTATGTAGAAGTAAACAAGTATATCTAGGCATAGTTTTCATAGACTTAGAGAGGATATATGATACAGTTCCAGCAGGGTTGCAAATGAACCGAGCTGAGCTGAGCTTTGGCGTGCTTGGGCTCGGTTCGCCACAATTTGGGAGGTGCTCGGGCTCGACTCGGGCAAGCTTGGCCAAGCCATGCTGGGGCTTAGGCTCGTCAGAATATCAGAGAGCTTGGATCGGTTTGGGCTCGGTCGCCATTTCATTTTCAATTATGATTTAATATGCAATTTGTGGACCGGAAGAAGAGGACCGGAAGAAGAGGACCGGAAGAAGAGGAAGATATGAACACATATACACATATATAATACACAACAGAGTATTGTACACAAACAAATCATATGTATTGAGTTATAAATGTATAGTTATATAGTCATATATATATGTGCATACCTTGAGGTTGTTTGAAATCATCAACAGTTGTGCATCGTTCCCTTTTTTCAATTAATTTCATTAGTTGTCCATTGTTGTCTTTAAAGAATATGAAAACTTGAAGGGCCGGTGAAGGGAGAGGTTGGTCGTCGCGGATCTCTAGAAATAATGAAGGGCCGGTGAAAGGAGACGCTGAACGTCACTGATCTCCGGAAATATTGAAGGGCCGGTGAAGGGAGAGGCTGGTTGAGTGGTCTTGGCCGATCGTTGCAGAGAGTGAGAAGAAGAACGTCACGGATGCGCATCGTTGTAGACAATGATCTAAGATTTTAGGGCTTGGTTTGTGTTAGCAAACTTAACATAAATGGGTCTGTTGTTGGATCTTTAAAATGAAATAAATATGGGTCATTTGTGTTGGGCTTAATAGGAATGTATTTTACAAATGGGCTCATGTAACAATGGATCAAATATGTTGGGTTGGATAAAAAACGTATAAATTACTAATAAACGAGCTTGTTCACGGGCCTAGCGAGCCAAGCCTACCATTGTTCGGGCTCGGCTCGTTTATTAAACGAGCTCAAAATTTGTGCTCAAGCTCGGCTCGTTTGCTAACTGAACGAGCCCAATTCGAGCCCTTAACAAGCCGAGCTCGAGCTGTTCATGAGCAACTCGGTTCATTTGTAGCCCTAGTTCTCAGGGATAAAATTTGGTGGGCTTTACTAAAAATGAGTCTCTTTAAATCTTATAAATATTATTCAGGATGTGTATAAGGATACAAGGACTATTTTCATTATATATTTGTATGTGGAGAAACAAACAATTATCTATAGAAGTGGGACTACACCAAGGACCAATCCTTATCCCAGACATACTTAAACTAGTCTTAAACAAAATAATGGAATAAAAGAACTATAATATAGAAGAAAGAGAAGAGAAATATGTAAAATATTTGAATGAGATGTTTAAATACTCACAACTCTTATATTTATATACTAAAAAGAGCACATGTTAATATTACAGTAAAGAAAACTAAATAAAATCATTACATATTCTATGCCTAGACATATGCGTAAATAAAGTCAAATCCATTATTTGTGGCTATCATATCTCAGATAATATGGTAAGTCACATCGCATGATTTGGGCCTATCATATCTCGTTTAGCACTCCCCCTCAAGTTGGTACGTGGATGCCTGAGACACCCAACTTAGACAATGCATCCTTAAATACAGTCTTGCTAACACGTGCTGATTAGCGAAGCTTTTCTGTCAAATGAAGTGTCGATTAACAAATCAAAGTGTCTCCTCAGACCATAAACATTCAACAATGTCTCCTCAGACCGTAAACAACCAACCATGTCTCCTTAGACCGTAAACAACCAACAATGTCTCCTTAGACCATTTCCCTTCATACACATGTTTAAAATATGTAGATAGAAGAATCAACAATATCTCCTTGGACCATTCTCCTTCATACATATGTTTAAACAATGTAGATGAAATAGTGGTTGTGGAGGTTTGGTATGGAGCGGGATAGATTGTGGAGGGGGGTAATATTGTGTCGGTTTGGGGAGGAGGGGGGGGGGGGGGGTGTTCGGCCGTGGTGTTTGTACCTGGAGGTGTCGGTGTTTGGAAAGACATTCGGAAGGGATGGAATGAGTTTTCTAAGCATATCAGATTCAGAATTCATGATGGTAGGGAGATTCAGTTTTGGGAGGATATGTGGTGTGGAGACCGGACATTAGCACGTTCTTTTCCTAGATTTTTTAGGATTGCGGTCGATAGGCATGCCTTGGTGGCTGACTGCTATCATCTTGATAGCGGGAGACCGGTTTGGGATGTGCTGTTTCATGATCTTTATAAGACTGCGAGATGGATGATGTGTTTGGTTTTTTAGAGTTGTTGTATAGCCAGGTGAACCGGGGAGGAGGTAGGGATTCACTAGTTTGGATTCCTTCTACTAGGGGAATGTATAGTGTGAGATTTTTTTCCGGATGCCTGGTGGACTTGGATGGGGTGGTATTCCCGTGGAAGGCTGTGTGGCGCACTAAGGTGCCATTAAAAGTGGCCTTTTTTGCTTGGACGGTTGTGTGGGGTAAAATTTTGACGTTGGATAATTTGAGAAGGACAAAGCTTATCACGGTGAATTGGTGTTGCATGTGTAAGTGCAATGGCGAGTCGGTGGATCATTTTCTCTTGCATTCTCCAGTGGCGGTTGATTGTTGGAACCTTTTGCTAGGTTTGTTTAGACTTTGTTGGGTCATGCCTTGATCTACGAGAGGCTTGATGGACGCCTAGAGAGGGGGTTGGGTGGGAGCACAGTCTCGAGGGTTCTGGAGGATGGCGCCTTTGTGTCTTTGGTGGTGTTTGTGGAGGGAGCAAAATAGAAGATCCTTTGAAGGAGAGAAATCTTTCATTACTGTTCAGAAATCTTCTGTTATTAGCTCTCTTTGTTTTTGGGGTTCGGGTAGACTCTGCTCTTCTGCTGAGGAGACTATTGAGTTTTTGGCTTCCTTGGGCCTTAGGGTACCCACGTTTTGTGTTTTGTTAGGGATGTGTTCCCCGTTTGAATGATTTTTTTAATGAATTATTTCTTTATAAAAAAAAAACAATGTAGATGAAAGAATCAACAATGTCTCCTTAGACCATAAAAAAGCAATCACATCTTAGACCATTTCCGAATGGGTGGTTTTGAACTTATAATGCTCTCATTGAGGTCGGATAAGTCTGCCTAACTCGACACCTCCTGGATTGGGGATGTCTCCTTAGACCATTCTCGAATGGGTGGTGCCTAACTTGCAATGCCCTTATTGCAGTCGGAGTCTCGGACCACCCTGGCTTTGATACCAAGAAGAAATATAATATAGAAGAAAGAGAAGAGAAATATGTAAAAGGTTTGAATGAGATGTTTAAATACTCATTCACAACTCTCATATTTATATACTAAAAAGAGCACATGTTAATATTACAATAAAGAAAACTAAATAAAATCATTGCATATTCTGTGCCTAGACATATGCGTAAATAAAGTCAAATCCATTATTTGTGGCTATCATATCTCAGATAATATGGTAAGTCACATCCCATGATTTGGGCCTATCATATCTCGGCTAACAGGAATCTATACATGGAGACTTCCTATGGTGCATCTTGTTTCCTGATGACATAGTGTTGTTGGATACTTCTAAGGAACAAAATTAGAAATTTGGAGAAATGTATTAAAAACAAAAGGGTTAAAAAGTAGTAAAACTAAAACAAAATATATGTCTTTGTAAATTTAATAATGATTTGGAAAGTAATGGTATCGCAATCGTGATTCGCCGTATTGGCCGATATGTACTGTTCGTAACTCTTTTTCCAGGGTCCAATACCGTTACACACTTCCATGAACTGGTCAGTTTTGTCGATTTATATTGATATTCGCTCAAGTCTGTTACATGGCAACCACGAGCGATACCACGACTACAAACCATGATTACAATAGTGATCCAAGACCATGGGGTTACTCAGTACTTAGGTAGAAAAAAGGGAGAATTAGTAATGATATTACTAGTAGGATTGGAGTAGGATGGACCAAATGGAGATGGGTTAGGGTATCTAATGCGATAGAAAAGTACCAAACAAGTTAAAAAGAAAAATTTTATAGGACGATCATTAGGCGGCAGTGTTGGCTGCATAGGTATTAAAGGTTCAAGGCTCACTTAGATGCCAAACATCTCCCACAACCTAAGCGCAAGGCACAATGTAAGGCGCTAGCCTCAACTAAAAATGAATATCAAATATCAGTAGAGAGAAAACAATTAAAATATACAACACAACTATGCATATCAAAATAAAGGAAGTTTTCAACATATCAATTTAATGGATAGCTATATTAATATCCATATATCTCTTCAGTTTGCATATGAACTAAATTAAATCAATGTATAGAATCAAATAGGATTTACAACACAATTAGTAAAAAAAAAAAAAAAATGTAAAAATCAAAATTTTGACTTACCAACTAAAAGGATCGGGTAAATTAATGTGCACAAATCATTTTTACATGCATGTGCATTAACTAAATTCAAATACTATTAGAAATATGTAACAATAAAAACCAACCATTATTTAGAATTAAAACATATATTATGTAAGCATAAGAGACAACATACACTTTTCGGTTCCTTTTAATATACGATGAGATTAAACAGTATAATCCATTGAATATGACCACAATGTAATGTATAGTAAGCAAATTAATAGTCATTTTAGAAAAAAGATAGCAAGATGTGTGTGTTTTTTTTTGATCCTAGAGCCTGCTTAAGGGACAAGCCTGAAACCCCCCTCCCACCCACACACACACACACTAATTATGAGCTTGAAGGCTTTATGCATGCCACACATTTCTTGTTTCAATTCTGATATTTATGTATTCAAATTTGGAAACTGTATGATATATCCGTGCTATTATTCTTTCTGTGTTATTTTTGCTCTAAATTTTATGAGCATGTGTAGTATGCTCTTGTATTTGTACAAGTGATTAGACTACTACAACCCCATCATTGACCTTTTATAGCAACTCCTCAACATAACTATGTCATTAGAAGTGTGTTATTTTCTCCAAATATTTTTTTAGTCTCCTTTTGGTTTTCTGTTTCTATTCCAAAGCATTAGTTTACAAAGAGTTCTCATTGTGAAGGATTAATTTTATACAATTATGAGTTTTTTTTTGCCAGTCTTAGATATGACTTTTTAACATTAATCTTCACAGGGAGATCAAAATTCTCCAGGTATAATACCATTGGCAATAAAGGATGTTTTCAGCATTATTCAAGATGTAAGTCTGCTTGCAAAAGTTACTATGCTTTGTATCACAATTCTTTCAACTGCAAGTTCTTCTTTATCTGTGTTCCTGTTTTTTATTTATTTATTTTACCATCTTGTAGCCACTATTATCTTTTTTGTTCCTATTAGTTTCTTGATATTTTTCAATGAAGTTACTGGTTTAATGTGGTGATGTGTTATACCTTGTGATAATACGTTTTTAGTGAATACTTTTGGTCACAAGTTTTATCTCTTAAATTGTTTGCTTAATTTCAGTTATAAACTATAATCTTCGGTGATTTTGAAATTTCTAGTTCTTGGTTCCATTTTTGGTTCATTCTACTTCACACTAGTGGATAAGCAATCCCAAGGTCACCTTTGTCCTTGGGTCTGGTCTTGGTTGAAATGGGTGAGAGTCTGTTTAGGTGCCTTAATGTCTTTTGAAATGCATTAAGATTGTATTGAATGTGCCAATGAGTTCCTGTTAAATTTGGTGGGTGAAGTTCTATATCTAGTCTGCTACTCTGCTATGTATGGCAAAAGGTGCTTATGTCAACGGGGATCTCTGATGGGGTGTTACGTATATTTGTTGTGGCCTAGCGAGATACCACCATGTGTAGTGGGGGAGCTGATGGGACATGGTGGGACGACAATGCAGGACTAGGGTGGTAGTGTACTACTAGTATGGTAGTGAGGTTGGCAGGTGTGCTTGGCAAAATATTGGCATGACACATAGTATGTCCTTAACATGTAAATGGGTGGGCCAAGTGATTTTGCCACATTTTGATAAGTGCGGCCTAACAGGGTGTCGCCACGTTTTTTTGGTTCATCAGTCACATGTTGTCTCTCTTGAAGACGGCTTGAGGTGTAACTGTGAGGAAGACACCTTAATGAACCTGTTTTTAGCCATTATGCTAAGTACACCTAGGATCGCATGTGGATGAAGGTGTAATTGGGCGGGGGTCACTTTGTGGCTCCACGTACTGTGCTTGAGAAACCTCATGTCTTGCTCTTGACCCTGCTGTGCACGAGGTGCATCAGGATGTAATGCATTCTGTGATGATGTTGTTACTTAGGAAGAGTTAGATGGAAATTGTTTCAGAGATTCAGACTGCATGGCCGGAGAAGTGCGCAATTTAACCTCACGGAGATACTTTCGCTGTGCGGCTGGGAAAGTGTTGGCTCATCCATAGAGTGTGATTTGATTAGGGTAGCCCTCTGTATGGTTGGTAAGATGTTGACTCGCCATGAAATGTGCAGTTGGGAAAATAACCCTTGCTTCTTTACCCGTTTGTCAAAGTCAGAGGTGCTGTCCTCAGATTCATGATATGTGCTGACCATTGGACTAATATGGCTGGAGATTCACGGAGATCCCATACATGTCCCATGGAAATGTCTATGTGTCAACTAAGATGAATTGCCCATGGAAAGTGCCACATGTTGAGCTTCAAACCTGACACATAAGACTTGAGATTCTTCATGGCTGGTTGCTTGCATCTACTTTCTTCTCTTCCTCATTGGTAAGGATAATGAGAGGCAAGAAATCGCATGTGGATTGCCACTTCAGATGTATGAGGAATGGTGGGGTCAGATATCTGCAATATGTAAATATATTTCATTACTCCATGACTTCACCTTACTGTGATCATGGAAGAATTATTCTGTCCTTCAATTTGACACTGATTTTGCATGAATGGCCCAACATTATTTATTTATTTATTTGCTCCTTTTCTTACTTTTACTAAATTTGTTTTAAACTGTTCTTCTATGATTGAATTGTAAACTAACTGTTTTCTTGCTTCAGACTCCAGGACGAGAGTTCTTGCTTCGAGTATCATATCTTGAAATCTATAATGAGGTCAGTAATACAGTACTTGATGTTACTTTTACAAACTCAGTAATATGGAGTTGAGTTTCTGTTAAAATCTCTTTCAATTGCTCTACAGGTGATAAATGACTTGCTTGATCCAACTGGTCAAAATTTGCGTGTCAGAGAAGATGCACAGGTTTCTTTTTCTACTCACTGTTAGTTTTGATCCTTAATTTATATTTGGCATTCATGTTTTCGTTGTCATATATTTGTTTTTTGCTTTTTTCTTTGTTCAGTTGCTCATTTACATAGTAAAACCTGGTTAGCTGCTACTTTGCTCCAATGGGATTTCCATATGCCTCTAAATCGCCCTCATTAAATATAGATGAATCATTGTTGTGCAGGATAATGTTGTTTCTCACTTGTTGACTATATATATATATATTTTTTGAAGCAGTTTGTTTCTCAACTTTGATGAGTTTTAGTTTTTTCGATGTTTATTTTATCTTGTAAGATTCCTAATTCCTCTTTGTTGGTCCTAATTATGTTGGAATATGTTTACAGGGTACTTACGTTGAGGGTATAAAGGAAGAAGTTGTTTTATCGCCTGGTCATGCACTTTCTTTTATTGCTGCAGGGGAAGGTATTCACTGTAATCATTTTTATGAATCCTTCTCTTGTTCATTTTCTTTTGTTTTTGTTCTAATTTTTGTTTTGTAATGGCAGAGCATCGCCATGTTGGTTCGAATAATTTTAATCTGTTGAGTAGCCGTAGTCATACAATATTCACACTGGTGCGTGTTTTATATTTGGTGAAGCATTTTGGTTTCTGTAAAAAACCCCACATTTTAGTGCCACAAAAGAAAATGTGTTATTTTCAATATTATCTTTTAATTCTATTTTCATGTTACTTGCAAATTTTTTTTTATGTTTCATATCCCAATTGGCCAAATTTGCTGTTCTGTGACATAAAGTTGGGTATTCAATACCTTTTGATTGTTAATTTGTTACTGTCCTGGAATTCACATGGATGTTGTTCTCTCAATTGTTTTGGATCGTTCATATAAGATTGTGAAGGGCTGTAACCAACCCAGTGAAAAGTGGTTCTGGGGACTAACATTTCTCAATTATCTGAAAATGTAAAAGCTTTGATACTTTAGGCATTAACATTGCTTGTTCCTCCCAATATGTTTCTTTCAACCATATGCTGCAGAGTTTGCAAGGTCCCTGTAAACGATGATAGAATTCTTTCTTGTACAAATGTGGCCGTCCTACCTTTTAGCCATTTTGGACACCACATTTTGTGTTCCATTCCTCATGTCTTCAATCTCTAATCTCTAATGTACACGTGTGATCGCAGATGGTTGAAAGTAGTGCCCATGGTGATGAATATGATGGAGTGATCTTCTCTCAACTTGTATGCCTCAAATCATTGATTTTTATCAAAATATGAAATATTCATCTTTGTTTTGTTGTGTCATAGTGTTTTGTTTTGCCTCTTTGCTTTAGAATTTGATTGATCTAGCTGGATCCGAGAGTTCAAAAACTGAGACAACTGGATTACGGAGAAAGGAGGGATCATACATTAATAAAAGTCTTCTAACTCTTGGAACGGTATTGTGCATGGGAAATTTTTTGTTACTGTTTTTGAGTTTTTTATATCATTTTTTAATGTTAATCATTATTCTCATAATTGTTGTTCTCTCTGTTCCCAAGAAAAAAAAGAAGTCAAAAAAGCTTGATAGCAATCAATTTTACTTTTAGTGGATGTTCTTTCTGATTTTGTGGTGTTGGCAAAGTAGCCAAATTGGCAGTTTTGTCCCCTCTCATTGGCTAGTGCTATAGGAGTAGGTGGTGAATAATTTTGAGAGTTTTTTATTCACTGTTGGGTCCATTGCTTAACAGCTTGAGCTTTTGAGTGATAGTCTAATATGGTATCAGACTATCAGAACCTTGCTTCTGGAGGTCTTAGATTCAAGTCTTGACCTCTTCCTACATTTCCCTGTTTTGTCTTGTCACTTTGCACCTTAATTTTATTTGCTTGTCTCTTTATGTCGAGATGGTTCGCAGTGAGGGATGGTGTGAGAGTTTTATATATTTGTTGATGTTGGTAACTTGGTACAAGTGGTAGTCTAATAGATCTTGCGTAGCCATGAAACTGAAAAAAACTATCTAGGCAACTTTTTTTACTACTCAATTAACTGTTAATACACCTCACAGTTAGTTCTATGAATATTCAGTATTTCACTTTCATTTCTGAGAGGATGTTCACTGTAATATGTTCTTAATTTTTATTAAAGGATTTTATTTCATTTGCAATGTGAAGGTAATTGGAAAACTAAGTGAGGGGAAGGCATCTCATGTTCCATATCGAGATTCCAAGCTTACCCGCCTTCTGCAATCTTCACTGAGTGGCCATGGACATGTTTCGGTGAGTTTGAAAAGCAACGAGAATTATGTTAAATGAACTTATATGAATTAATTTTTCCTTGACAGCATTTAACTTGTTTGTGTACAAGTTACAGTTACACAACAAGATGGTATCCAGCAAATTATATATGAAAGATTTTGTTTCACATTGTAAATTTTTTTAATGCAAATCATTTTCAACAAGGAACTTAATATGTGTAATTTGGTTTCTTTCTTTCTCGGCCTCATCTTAAATTATGACGCTGTACACAGGAAAAGAATTTATGGTGCAATCAAAGCTGACATGCCTCTTGCTGTTATTCCTCTTTTTTCTCTTTCTTTTTTCCCCAGCTTATATGCACAGTAACTCCTGCATCTAGTAATATGGAGGAAACTCATAATACATTAAAATTTGCAAGCAGGGCAAAGCGTGTTGAGATCTATGCCTCGCGCAATAAGGTTTGTTATGACATTGTTATATACTATCTCAAGAATAGTGTAAAGCAATAAACATTGAAAGCTCAATATTATGCTGATTTTTAAATTATGTTTCTTCCAGATCATTGATGAAAAATCATTAATTAAAAAGTATCAAAGAGAAATATCCGTCCTCAAACAAGAACTTGATCAGCTGAGGCAGGGGATGCTTGTTGGTGTCAGTCATGAGGAGATTTTGACCTTAAAACAAAAGGTTTTCTTCCAACTTTTATGTTTACCGTATGATGGTTCCTATACTTGGTCTTTGACATTTGAATCTATCAGTGAAACCGGGTACTGATTTTAGCTTCTCATGCCATGTTCATCATTGTTGTTTATTTAATAGTTGGAAGAAGGGCAAGTGAAAATGCAATCACGGTTGGAGGAAGAGGAGGAAGCCAAGGCCGCTCTAATGAGTAGAATCCAAAGGCTAACCAAACTCATACTTGTTTCTACTAAGAATACAATTCCTGGATGTTTGAGTGAAGCAACTGGTCATCAACGGCGTCTTTCTGCTGGAGAGGATGACGTAAGCGGATTTTCCCTATTTAATTATGTGATAGAACATGATCAATGTTGAATCCGCACTTGTTTTTTGTGTTTAATTATTGTTGTAGCTTCCTATTTGAACTTGTACAAAATATTTCTAAATTTTGTACTTTCTTTGAAACTTGCAGTTGCCAGTGTTGGACATCAGATTTTTTTTCAGGGGTGGGGAAGAGGGAAAAAAGAAAACTGAAAAGAAAAAAGTTGGAATTTATAGTTTGGACTATTACTATTCAGTTAAATTTGAAATTTTGTAATTCAAACAATACTGATAAGAATAATTTTGAACAAGTCCAGTCAGTAGTCTGATTTTATTGGGGAGGCAACCTAAATAAATTTAGAACAACCATTTCCAGTATTTCAAGAGGATTGAGAAATGCATGTTTTTTTGTTTTGTTTTGTTTTTGTCTTTGGAGGGGGTTAGGGGAAGGGGAGTGTGGTCCTTGCTACCCCCCTCCCTCTATTTATTTCTCTCAATATGAGAGATTTATCATTGGTTGGTTGACATATTTTCTGTGTTGACGTGTATTTTTGTATTCATGGTTTATTGATGTCTTTTACTGACTCGGGCCTTCTTGGGGTTGACTGTAGCAATGCTCTCTCTCTCTCTCTCTCTGTGCATGCACATGCAAAGGACATTAAATTTTTGAATGGGTTTTGTTGTCAATTTTGTTTTTCAATCTAAAATCATGAATTTGATGATGATATTTCGTTCCATTTCTGTCAGAAATTGGATGTTCTACGCAATGGTTCTTTGCTCGTAGATAGTGAGAATCAGAAGGACAGCTCATCTTCTGCTTTGGCAGTTCTGTCAGATCCTTCTTATGAGTTTAAGCACAGAAGATCTTCCAGCAAGCGAAATGATGAACTATCAGCAGCTAGCAGTACAATTACAGAATCAACTCAAGCTGGTGAACTTATCAGTGGTTCTTCTTGTGGTTCAAAATTGCCAACAGTATGTTTTTGCCTTTTCTGTCCTTTATATTTTATTAATTTTTATTTATTTATTTTTTAAATACAAATATTAATTATTACAAGGTTTTCAACAAGGATAATGCTTATGTAGTTAAAGATCAACACAGATTGATATACTTTAAATCTCAGAGGACATTGAATATGCAGTGATGATATGTTATTCATTTATTCTTTTTAAACTAGATTTGTTCCAAGCTGAATTATTGGCCTTCTATTTGTCTATATATTTATATATTTGCCCATGCTTGTGATGTATATTATATACATTACACTATTTCATTTTCTTAGTTTTATGAATTTGGCTTGATTTACTGATACAATTCTATGTACATCCCTCCTGGTAAAAGTCACGTTAGTTATCTGTTCAGCCATTGTCATTTTTATTTTGTCTGTGAATTACACATTTGAAACTGTTATTTCAATGGTGTTGCTTCTAGAATAGGTCAGTGTTATCATTAGTGTTTATGTTTGTTATAATCTTTGAAGTTTTTGTTTTAGAGGATAGACTTTGACTTTAACATCTGTGGTTGCTTATCTCTAGGGTGGGATGACAATGTCGGATCAAATGGACCTTCTTGTTGAGCAAGTTAAGATGCTTGCTGGGGAGATTGCATTCAGCACCAGTACCTTGAAGCGTTTAGTGGAACAGTCTGCAAATGATCCGGAGAGCTCAAAATCTCAAGTATAGCTCCATTCACCAGTTTCTGATCTGTACTTTATGTTAGTGTGGTGCATTCAATTTTACTGGTGTGAATAATATGGTTCAGAACTATTGATACTTGCATGGACGAAAAACTATTTATTCTGCAGAATGTGGCTGTTTTAGATAATGTTAGATAAGCATTTCCTTTTTCTTGATTCTGAAAACACATTTGTAAACTAATCTCATGTTTACAATTTGTTCTAGGTTCTTATTTTTATCAAGATTCCTTTTCCTCCTTCAGGGGAACTACATTATGGAAAAAGGATGAGCCTATGTACAGAGGGTGGTAAGAATTTGAGTGTATTAAGTGCTTGTCCAGTAAGTGGAGTGCTTTTTTTCTCTCTAAAAAGGGCTAGCCTAGTGCATGAGGCTCCCGCCATTGTAGAGTTTGGGAAGAGTCAAATGTACGCGGCCTTACCTCTGCAACCGGAGAGACCGTTTCCCTGTTTCGAACCCGTGACCTCTAGGTCACAATGGAGCAACCTTACTGTTGTGCCAAGGCTGCCCTTGCTTTCTCTCTCTCTCTCCTTTTTATTTTCCTATATTTTTTTTTCTTTTGGGTGGTGTCAGCCTTTGTCAAAGGAATCTGTTGTTAGAAATTGAGAATTCTCAATGTAGAGATTTTGGAATGAAAGGATTCAGTACTGATTCTTTATGTGGCATTAGGGTGTGTTTTCTGGAGAAGAGCTAGGAGCAAATCTATTTGTATGTTGTTGGTTATTATCCCTTAGGTATCAAAGTATATTTTATTCAACTATTAAGAGAGTTTTAGTTAGTGGGCTTGTAGTCTCTTTGGAATTTTTGTTTCTATTATTGTTGGGTTGTTTTTATTCTCAGTATTTTTTGAGATTTTGTTGATTGTCTTTGCTGGTGGGCGTTGGAACCACTTATAATCTTGCATTATTTGTTTTTCCCTTGTCTAATTTTTACTTACTTTTCTTTTGCCAAGTTAAATAACCCCAACTCAAGTTACAGTTCTGCACACCAATATCCCACCTTTTGTTCTTCGTTAGTGTTTTGACTGTCAATTTGTTCATTGTTTTATAGAACATCACTTATTACGTTTGACATGTGCATTGGTTGACAAATGGGAATGTATCGCCCAGTCTGGTTCTTGAGTTTTCTGCTTTTGCATACTAATTGAAAGTGACACATCCTCTCTGTTTGCTCTGCATTTTACATATCCTTTTTTCAGTTCTAAGGTTCTTATCTTTTGGACCACTCATCAACATTATTAGGAAGTGTTAATCCCAGTCAATGCAATTGAATGCGGTTTCTTTCAATTATATACATATAGGCATTATTACATCTCAGCTAGTCTGAAGTCTAATGAACTCTAGCCACGTACTAATAATCACATCAGCATGTATCTCTATTATGATGTCTCCTATAATTGATAATGAATGTAGAAGGTTTGCTCATCAAAAAGTTCTGAGTAGATTTCATCCCATTGCCACTGCACAGTTTATGATGATAAATTTCCACCTGATACTTTGTATTCAGATCTACCTCTAATTTATGTTGGACTCAATTTATTCCTGCTTTCTTGTATGCAGATTCAGAACATGGAACGTGATATCCAAGAAAAGAGGAGGCAAATGAGGGCCTTAGAACAACGTATTATTGAGAGTGGTGAGGCTTCAATTTCTAATGCATCATTGGTTGATATGCAGCAGGTAATTTACCATCTCTTTCTTCATTATCATTCTTGTTCTCAGTTTTCTTGTAGTTTGCTCCCTCAAAGTCAGCGGTAGCTTCATTATTATGGTGATTAGCTCAAAAAATCATTTCTTTTTCTTTTTTGTTGTACAACAGACAGTGATGAGATTGATGACGCAGTGCAACGAAAAGGGTTTTGAGCTTGAGGTCAGTACTCTAATAATTTTTTTTATAGCTGTTGCATTTCCAAATTCAGATAGAAAGCTCACGTCTTACTAAAAAAATTATATTCTCATTCCATTTATATGGTCCCTTGTAATTTTAAGATTATGGTTTTTAGTGGTCATCCTCTGGTTGAAACGTTTTGATCAATTGATGCAGATAAAATCAGCAGATAATCGTATTCTTCAGGAACAACTGCAGAATAAGGTAAAAATAATATCATTGCTACTACAATTCTTTTGCTCACTTTTTTTTCTTTTCTTTTGGAACAAATTTCCAATAACTACAATTTTTACTTAATGTTTATACCAAATTCTCAAATAAATCCATTTGATTGAACACGTATGCATAAATCATTTTTACTTTTTTTTTGGGGGTCATTGTCAGTGTTCAGAGAACAAGGAACTGCAAGAGAAAATAGAACTCTTGCAACAGCAGTTGGCTTCAGGCACTGGTGATAAATTATCATCTTCTGAACAGTGTATATCTGAAGAATATGTTGATGATTTGAGAAAGAAAATTCAGTCTCAGGTAATTATTACATCTTCAAGCCTTTGATCATTTCAGTTAGCTTGCCTTAACAAAGTTTTGATAAAGTACCAGTGATGGTTTCGGTGGCAGTTAGATTAATGCTGGAACACTGTGGAAGATATAACATGTTTCTGTTAGTCTTTTTTTTTTTTTTTTTTTCAAACCAGTCTCTGTTAATCTTTCATTGAAATTAAGTTCAAGTAGCGACTAGCGTGTTATATTATTTATGTGTGATTTGTTTCTGTGATTTTTGTTTGTTTTTCTTTCCAATTACTTGGAACATGCTTGGTCACATTCTCTACATTCAGCAGTTGAAACATATCATTATGTGAAAAAACTTGAAAATAAGTTGTAATAGAGCAATCGATTCATCCAGCAAAATGTGCAGCTCTTATTCCCAATTCCACAAAATTTGATGCCACATTCAATCCTATATTTTGTTAGTTTGAAGCTCATGCTCTTGTTAACTTCCACAAAATTCTGCCATTGGCAATCACACAGCATTTTCCATGTGGTACTGTGGTAGAAAAATTTCATCATATCCAATTCGATAATTTTTAACAATCTTAAAATGTAAAAATGCTTGATCTTTGGGAGTTGAATGTGGGTAAAGGACATTTTTAGTTTAGTCTCTCATATTAAACGTTAAGAGGTGATCCTTGTTACTCTTGAGATGATATAGCTGCTGTTTGTTACTCTTTTCGTTGTTATAACTATTTTAAAAGTCTTAACCACTACATTTGATAGTTTTGCTTCAATAAACTGAGTATCTAATGCAATAGTACAGCAACAAGATGTAGTTGTCAATATGGATTAATATAGTATCTAAAACTCACCGAGGTCAGGAATAATATAGATATATTCTTTGCTAATGATTGAATTATGGAACTTCATTTTCTTCCCTCTGAGCAGGAAATTGAAAATGAGAAACTAAAGCTAGAACGTGTTCAAAATTTGGAAGATAGTAGTGGACTACGGGTGCAGAATCAGAAACTTTCTGAAGAAGCTTCTTATGCGAAGGAACTGGCGTCTGCTGCTGCTGTTGAGCTGAAGAATTTGGCTGGTGAAGTCACCAAACTTTCATTACAGAATGCAAAATTAGAAAAAGAATTATTGGCTGCTCGAGAATTGGTACATTCTAGAGGTGGTGGTCTACAAACTGGTAATGGTGGCAACCGAAAGTACAGTGATGGTCTGAGACCTGGGAGAAAAGGCATGCATTCTGGCCGAGCTAATGAAGTTTCAGGAATGGGTTATGATGACTTCGACTCCTGGAATCTTGATCCAGATGATTTAAAAATGGAGTTACAGGCAAGAAAACAACGGGAGGCGACCCTTGAAGCTGCCTTGGCTGACAAGGAATTTGTAGAAGATGAATACAGGAAAAAGGTTGAAGAGGCAAAGAAAAGGGAGGCGGCTTTGGAAAATGATTTAGCAAACATGTGGGTGCTTGTTGCACAGCTGAAGAAAGAGGGTGGAGCAGTCGCTGTGGTAAACACATGTGAGAGCCATAGTGACAGAATGGATCATGTGAATGGTCTGAAAGTAGATGCTGCTGACAGCAAGGATACTGTCCTTAAAGAGAGACAGGTTCAGGATGTTACAAAATCTACTCTTGACATCTGCAAGGAAGAACCTCTTGTTAATCGTTTGAAGGTATAACTGTGTGCCTCCTGCTTCTTAAAGTTCATCTTTTATTTCTTGTTATATATTTTTCTAATATTAAAAAATCTTTTAATTTCTTTGTTGTATTTTGTTATTATTTATTTTTTAATATGTGCAAAAGCAGCAACAACAACAAACAAAGCCTTTTCCCAAAATTTTGGGGTTTCGATTACATGAATCCTATTTTTCCACTATCAAAGGCCGTAACCATTTAGTCAAACCACATGTTATCATATCCTTCCCTACTTACTCTATCATGTTAACTTTGGTCTTCCCTGTCCTCTATCATGTTTACTTTGGTCTTCCCTGTCCTCTAGCATCACCCTCAATGTGGAAAAACATGCATTAGCAATAGTTTATTAATGTAGGTTGGCAAACTTCAGAAGTTGTCTGCAACCGTTCACAATATTGTTATTAAGGTTTGTGGCTTTTCGGTGTTTCTATGGTTTTTGACTCTCTTGTTAATGCTTTCAGGCTCGAATGCAAGAGATGAAGGAAAAAGAAGTCAAGTACCAGGTCAATGGAGATGCAAATTCTCATATATGTAAAGTATGCTTCGAATTGCCAACTGCTGCAATGCTTCTCCCTTGCCGGCATTTTTGTTGTAAGTTGTTTTAGAAACCTTCATGCATCTGAACTTTCATATACCTCGAGGCTTGAGCCTACCATTCTAGTGGTTCTGATCTTTGTGTACCTCATATGCAGTATGTGAATCTTGTTCGCTTGCTTGTTCTGAGTGTCCAATTTGTCGCACAAAGATTGCAGATAGGGTTTTTGCTTTTACTTCTTGACGGTGCGTTTTATGCCCTCTGAATAGTCCAGCAATTTATTTTTGTTCCTTTTCAGCTTCTTGGCTAGTCTGCCCCTATAGACTCACTCATATCGGGCCCTTGATGAGTCACCATGTCACCTAACAGGGGAATGCCTCAAAACCATATTCAATTCCTCCTCTCACTGGAAATTTTTTACCTCTTGCGGCATATATTCAACAGTGAGCCAGAGGACATATATTAGCCCCTCATGAGTGACTTGTTTTAAGAGAACAAAACAGCACAAAACAGTCCAAAAATGCCAAAAATTTGTCTAGTTGACAATTTTCAGTAAAGTTATTTCTTGAAAATGCAGAGCTTCGGAAAACAGTTCTGAGAAAACAAATTTTCATGTCTATAGTTTTTGTAGTTCTTTGAAAACTGTTTTGTGCTAAGAGTTTCTGAAAACTATTTTAAGAGGGCTGAAACAAACAGATCCTTTTTTTTCAGTAATTTACGAACCATTCTGCAATATGAATGGATCATTTATCTGAAACTAAAACGGACAGTTTCTGACCTACATTTAATTTCCTTTGGTTTCTTTGCAGGAATTTATCATCATTCAAATGTTTGTTACATTCCATGCAATAGAGGGTGCCATTCTTTTATTAATTAGCCTGTATGCAACTATTTAAAAGGTATATCAGTGTTTTGTCTGTGTGTGTCCCCAAGGGGCTGTAAAATAAGAGGGGAAAGAAACCAAGAAAAGAACAAAAAAAAAAAAAAAAAAAGAGTGAAAAGAAGACAATCTATTGCACATATGAAGTTTATATGCAGGTTATTGCATTGAATCTCAAATACCCTGCAGATTGTTCTGATATTTCCTTTGTACTTCTGTTGCAATGTATAGAACAACGTAGGCGACGGTAAAAAGAATATTTTCCCCTCTTACTTTGTATAGTTCTGAATTTCTTTTTCATTTGGTTGTATTATAATTTGACTTCGTTTTTCCTTTCGGGGAAAAAAAATGGTGATTTCGCTCTCCGTTGGTTCGAAATGTGAAAAACCTGATTTTGTTGCTGATATTATTGAAATGAATCAAGGTCAGTATGCAAGTGTTCTCTGTAGGCATGAACGGCAATGTGACTGGTGAATAATAATATGTTTGAAGCCATTATGACCGTGCTGCTGTTGGTTTTCAGATTTTTGGTGGATCCACTACTTAAATGGATTTTTAGAGCTTATTTTTAGCTTTCTAATTTTAGATTTGCTAAGAAAAAGGTTAATCGATCTTGAAACCTGATTCTTCACGAGGCATTAGGGCTAAGATTTTTTCAACTAGGTCAATTCATTGGAATTGTCATATCATTATTTTGCAATTATTATTATTTCTTTGGTAAGAAATCCGTACATCATTCAAATACATGCTTTGCCAATTTGAAGACATGAATTTTCACTATTTACTTTGAAAGATATCATTAAATCAAAAGATACTTGATATTCAGTTTGTAACTATTCTACACTATTAAATTTAAGTGAAATAGTCGGTGAGAATTCGAATTCAAAACCTGGTACCTGTTTTGATAGTGGAAGGGGAAGATGAGGTAAGTTTGTCCCATACAAGGTGTTAAGAGAGAGATGTGATCTAATAATTTAAACAGCGAGTCCAATAATATTTAGCTTTTCTTCTCAAGCAACATGTTTAAATGAGACTTGAACAAGATATTTTATCAGAGTCAAAACTCTTACGCTGAATTGTCTCCAAAACTTAACTATTAGAAAGGGTATATCTTAAATTGTTTTTTTCTTTTCCTTCCTTATTCTTATCTTGGAATTAAACTAACCCTACTCTTAATACTTAGATCACCATAGATTGGGGACGCTATGGTCATGGTTTGATATTCAACTATACATGGTAGTATTCTGCATGTCAAATGAAGCCGCACTCTACGAAAACATGGCAAATTCTACCCAACTTTGAACGACTTCATGCGAGCACGTGTTTTTCGTGACACGATCATTCTTTTCTTAGAGCACGAACTTTCGTAGTGGTCGACGCTTTTTAATCATTTATTTTGGTATATCATGCAAGGGACAACAATTTAGACAAAGGTTAGTTGGTTCTTACATTCAATAATTTTTTTCATCGGGTCGAATAAATTTATTATTATTATTAGATAATAAAACCTAAAAGGCACGTGGGTAACATGGATTTGTTAAAAGTACTAATATAATTCATATAATTTTTATTCACTTTATCTATGTCCTAAAGTGTCCCAGCCATGTTCAACGAAAACGATTAAACATTTAAAAGAGGACAATTTTAGCGTGTACGATGTTGATAAAATATTATCATCAGTGATGTTTTCAGTATATTTGTTTTCCTAAATTGTTTAAGAGTCTTTGTAATGTTTTTGATTTTCGTAATTTTTTATTTTTTTTTGTAATTTTTCAATTTTTTAAGGATGTTTTCGTTTTTTCTTGTTTTGCATGTCGGATACTGTCGGGTGTGTCCGAGAGTTAAGTGGGACATTTCCTTGAGTTTAGGACTCTTGAAAATGCACTGGTTGCCATTTCAATATTTTTTCGTTTTTGGGTCGGAAGGTCCCGGGTGGGACCCGCTACCGTAATTATTGTGTACGAAGGTTGCGTTCCGGATCCAATGCATTTCATGTATTATTATTTTATGCATAATTTAATGACAATGTGTTAATTGTGTGGTGGTAACTTAATATATACCTATGTATATATTTTGTTATGGAAATAAAAGTCAAAAAGATATCGTTTTGGTGGTGGGACCCACCACCACTTGTTTATTAGATTTTTTGGCCAAGAAGCCATTATTTTGGCCTCACATTTTCTCTCCATCTCCCGGCTCTCTCTTTTCTTCTTCTTCTTCTTCTTCTTCTTTTTCTTTTTATTTATTTATTTTTATTTTTATTCTTCTTGTACTTTCTTTCTTTTATTTTTTTATTTTTTTATTTTTTTATTTAACAAACTTCAAACTTTGATTACTTCTCTACCGTTTGGAATTTGTTGGTGCCGTTTATGGCAAAACGGAGAGCTCGTCGAGATCTTCGCATTGATATAAGCAATTTCTTGTTGGGCCAACCCTAGGGATTTTGAAAATTGGGCAAATTTTGGGAGTTTTATCTCATTTGAGGTAGGGGAAGTCTAAATTATGAATTCTATAGTTTTAGTGAGTTTCTATGTACCTTCTTACATGAAAATTTTGATATTGTGAAGCATGCTTAGTTTGTGAATTTTTGGTTGTGATGTTAAGCATGAGTTAATATTGATCTAATTACTTGAGTTGAGGATATGATAGTTCCTTTCATTTGTACGAAGCATGCTATTTTTCTATGATGAAATGTTAAAGTATGATTTGTATGATTGACTTCATGTTTTGGATGTTTTAATAAGATGATTATGATGTCTTTTATGATTTGTATATTAATAAATGGTTGTATGACATGCATATTCTTGACAAGGGGGTGAGTTGAGAGGATGAAGGTTGATATGGGAGAAAATGTTAGGAGGTGAGATGATGGTTTGTGTAGCAAGTTAAGGTGATGGTTATGAAGGTTTTTAGTGAGGTTGGGTTGGAAAGGAAGAATGGGGCATTTGCATTTCAAGTGTGATGGAATGGTTTATGAAATTGTGAAATTCATGTATGTTGATATGACTTACAATCCCATGATCCCTTTTCTTGACCTCCTCTTCTTTGGTTGTGACTCACAGGATTTGTAAGAATGTACTTTAGGCTTTTTCTACTGAACTGTTGAGCTCACCCTATTATTATTAACATTTTTCGGGAATTCGGAAGTGAGCCGATGAATGATATGTATCCATGGATATTGATGTAGTTAGGATTTTATTTTTTTATTAAAGCTATGTAATTTTGGCCATAGAGGCCTTATACCTTGTATTAAATTCTTTAGAAATTGTATAAAATGAGATTTGTATAATTTGATCTTCAAACGATGTATTAGACTCGTATTCAGTTTAATTGTAGGCACGGGAGTTTAATTTTGTTATACACACTGTCAATTGCATGATTGGGACAGGTTTAGAGCATTTACAAAGCCCCTACCAAAGTTTTCTACGTTTTCATCACATGTAGCATTCCAGTAGCAGAAAACGTAGTTCGCAGAGCCATTTCGGCCAGCCGAAATGACTGTTTTGGCTGACCCACCATTGCAGTAGCTCCAGCTACTGTTTGGGCCACAATCAGCCGACTGAAATGCCCATTCCGATTAACTGGTACAGACTTCATTCCGGCCGACTGAAGCTCCATTTCGGTCGACCGAAATGAAGCTATTTGTGGCACTTTGTTTGTGACGGCCCAAGTTTTGTAAACCCGGTGCATCAATGATGACCAAAAGATGACTTGATATCGGATCCGAAATGCGGAAGCGAAAAGTGCAAAATGACCTCTAGAGATGTATGTCATCCCCAAGGCATCAAACTGACTCCCCATGAAGCTATGGAACTCAAATAAGCCGAGTAATGAAGCCAGAATGTCAAACCCAAAAAGAAATAAACCAAGGGTAAAATGGTCATTTCAAACTAAAATGGATGCCACCATGCATACCATTGGAAAGACAATGAAAAATGAATGAAGTTAGACTCAAGAATCACCTGATTCGGAGTCCGGACGGAAAAGGTACGAAAATGGAACAAAGTGGCATTCTTCGTCTGGGAGATACCACGAACCTATCTCACTAAAATTGGAATAACTCTAACTACAGTTGGAGTTTTGATTTATGGTTGGTATCATTGGAAAGCTAACTTCCAGATCTTGAATTTAGACTCAAGAACAACCCAATTTGGATTAAGAATGAGTGAGATATAATCCTCTGAAGTAGGTTCAACAAGGCTGTCTAAGGGAAACTGAAATGGAAAGGTTCCAGGGAGGATCGGTCGACCAACGACAAGAACCAGCTGGCCGAACCTCAACCTTCAGTCGGCCAAACCCCAATCATCAGCTGGCCAAAACGATGAATTTCACTAAGAAGGCTACTGGAATGGATTCTCGAATATATGTCAGCCGGCTGATGGCTCTCATCAGCCAACCGACGTAGCAGACAGCAACAAAAGCTGCTGCTGTAATATGTGAAAAATGAACTCGATTCAACCTTGATGCCATGCATGTATTCCAATCGATTCAAAACGAATTTGAAAACATTTTCTAGCCTTAATCATGCCTACATAACTTGCCAAGTCAAAAGGAAAGCTTGAACTTAATCCTTTGCACGAATTTTTCATAAAAATCCATAAATTATTCCAAAAATAGTTCAAAAGTTGTAACGTAAGAGTTTATGAGATGTGAGCATGCCCGCGAGCGTAAAATGATATTTTAGACGCGCTACAATGGCCTACGGCCTCATTTCAATTTATTTACAAAAATTGACCTATCAAACTTCCATTTTCACAAAATAGGTTATTAGGGCAAAACTTAAGTTTTAAAAACATATATGTAAACTTTGAAGTTTAATGGCCCTTGGCCTCATGTTATATATACAAAAAGAGCATTGTCAAGTGTACTTAAATACACATTATGCATGAAGGAAGTCATCTTAGCTTTTAAAATACCATACATTCATGGTATACAAAAGTATAACATCCAAAAGTAAAGCATGCTAAACAAGTGCATGTCCATATACAAAAATGCTTCAAATGGCTCATAGGCCCCTAAGGATGATGAGCATCCAAGAACATTGTCTCCTTACCTGTAAAATAACTCACACAACTAGGGTGAGTAATCAAGTTACTCGTAGGAAGAAACATATGCGTATACCCTAAAGTTTCAAAATCATTACAAGATTAATATAGACGAATACAAGGGATCATTCCACTTAACGTCTATGTTCAAGGTGTTCTAAGGGATCATCTTAAACTAATGCAATGATTCCATCATAACACAATATTAATATTGTCGACCTTAAGGATTTCATCCAAGGACAATTTAGAAGTTTTGATGATAACAAACCATTAATGGTGTTTAAGGACTAATGTTTACATTGAGTGTTATAGATTATTCACATTCAAAGGATAACCTTAATGAAGCACGAAAGATTATTCCAAGTATTCTATTATTTAAGATCACATGAAAGAAAGCAATGGA